TTTTCAATTGATTTATTTCTTAATATTAAGATTTTTAGCTATATTGTATTGACAGATGAGCTCAGTTTTACTAGATGCATAAGAATGATTGCCTAAAGAGAAAATGATGGAACAAGCTGTTATGGGAAAGGAACGCGCTTTCGCCAAATGCCATACTGGCCAGTTGGGCAAGAATGTAAAAATACAAACGAGTAATGGCTTAAGGAAGAAAGTAATCTTTCCTCAAACTTGGTAAACACAAAAGCCGAAGCCTGACTAGATAAGGGGACTTCAATTAAGTGTGAAAAATGTATTTTATACTATTGCTTATCTGATAAAGAGGGGCTATACTGTTCTATACAAAGTAACGTAGGTTATAGAATAGAGGAAATTCGGAAAGGTCACAACAACGCGTCCTTCTAGAAAGCCGGTTTAGAAGACTAAGAACGGAAGAGAGCTCCAGCTTGTCTATGGCAGAAAGCAGTGGAGCTAATAAAGTTTGCCAAAGTCCAGTTTCCCGCTGATTCGTGTAGCTGGGCCGATCTGTGGGGCAGGCCCGAACGAGTCGCTCCCATGGCATGGCAACACTTCCGGTCGGGCATAGGAATGCCGTCGGTTAAGACTTTAAAGCCGGCCTCGCTACAAACCGACTGGGCCTGACCAGTATGAGTACAAAAGTCTCTCTCCGCTCCTCATCGTAAAATGGCAAATGTTGCGCGAGTTGTGTACACCCCATTTCGTTCAAGGGTCTGAACGACTGGCAGTTGAATTTTCCTACAATCAGTTAAGTAGGACTGACGTTTCCATTAAATTTCTAAGAGCCTTGCGTTCCCAAAAGGTGCTCCATCGAGGGTGGACTAATTTGCTGGCAGTCTCGAAAGCCTACTCAAAAACGGAAAAACTCGTGCGAAAAATGTTGCTTGCGGAATAGGTTACGAAAAGTTACTTACATTTTTGTATGCAAGGCATTTATTTCTTTTAAAACGGTAATATTTATATTCTTGGAACCACATTTGTACAGCTCTATAATAATAGAAAGAAACTTCGATGTAGGAAACTGGCTAGAACTCGATTGAGTAAAAGAAATAAGATTATCTGCAAACAATTCAAGTGTTTATTTCTTAGAAAAGGAAAGTATGGGACTTCCAATCCTCGAATTAATAAATAAATAAATCACTTTATAAACAGTTCATAGCAAGGCAATGATTAATTTTTGAAATGGGGAAATCATGGGCAGAATTTGGGATCCGACATCAATAAACCTCTTTTAGTTGAAGTGAGAAGGAAGATAAATACGGGTAAAAGAAATTGGAAGGAGGATGCAATTATAATTCAATCAAATTAAAGGTTGAGAAGTAACTCACTTATGTACTTTGCAAAAAACAACATTTAAAAGTGGGATATATAAATTGTGTATCAAATCGATAAAATATTAATATTAATTCACTATAATAATTGGTCTACTTCTGATTGAAAAGGTCCCTCAATATGATGTGTCATATAAAACGCTAAGACTAGCGTAAATGGAGGTTAATACCTGAGGATTGTGACATCACTCAGTCCAGCCTATACCACAACCACTCGAAATAGTAACCACCTTCCCAATTCACAGGGTGGAGACCTTTCCAGAATGGCTTGCACTGAGGGATCTTGTCAACATCAAGTTAGTAACTAGCAACAAAATGACACTTGCTCGTTATACAATCATTGCAATGGCGAACAATAGGTAAACTTACCTCGCTTGTTTTTCTCTGAAATCAAAGAAGAATAGTTACTTGAGAATAAGTTATGAAAATGAGTAGCAGTAAAGCATTCTATAACATGTCTACTTGTTCTGATAGATTTATAGAACGTGATGTAAAGCTGGATTTGGAGCCCGAGAGCTGGTAAAGCGAGTGGCTCCAACAATTATGGTACGAGCAAGACCCATCTCCACCAGCCCTCTCGTGCATCCCTCACATCCATCACAACCTAGCCACTAACCTCTTAGCGTGAAGAAAGGTTGTTTAAACTTACGATGAGGGAACCCTAAAATAGAAGGAGGATGCTCATTAGCTGGGTAACACAATTCGTGCAAATTTTTTATAGAATATGCATTATTTGTTGTTATGATACGTCAAAGTGTTATAAAATAGGAAGGGATATTCAAGCTCTAACAACATAGTAAAGGTTAAATTGCGCCATCAACTTACGACCATGCCGCAATATTTTCTCCGAAGTATGAAGCATGATGATTGATTCTATCTTGATTGAACATTAATTTACACTGAGCAGACCATTGTTGGGCAATATCTCCGAGACGATCATCCCAGGTCTAAAAGTAGCAGAAATATAAATTACTTTAAAAATTTTCATTGACAATATACACTAATTTCACATGATTTTATGGAAAATCGTTATGATTCTTTTCCAAGTTAAGTAAAGAGAGGACTTTATTTAGCTTTAAGCCTCTACC